TGTTAACGTGACCGTTTATAGTATAGATAGGACTCCGCAGAGGGAAAGGCAACCCGCTCCTACAACGTGAAAGTTTAATGGATAGTTTATGTAAATTTCAGTCCCTATACATAACATTTCACTATTGCCCTTATCTATCGAAGGGAGAAGGGAAAAAGCATCGAAGCATACCTTAATAGTTTGTGTCTCTAAAAAAGGTATTGTGTGCTTAGCAGCAATGCCTAGACAGGTGGGCATGCTTACATGGTGCCATGCTGTCCCCTTTACGTTCTCCTTTCTCTAGTAATTATGCACACTAGACGCCTCATTTGCACTCACCTAATCCCCGAGGCGTAACATGATTTCCATTTTAATTAAATGATTAACGCGCTCGTAAATTTTATCACATCCCTTCCGGCTACCCGCAACAGTTGCTTAGTAGCGACTAAATATAGACACAGTCCATCTGGACCTGGGTCCTTTTTTCATTTGACGAAGTACCCTCGTTGAGCGGTCGGGAATTCCTGTGGCCTTATTCGAGTGGTTGTGAGGTACATTTTCGTTTGTGATCGCGAATATTAATGGATAAATAGAGGCCCCTAACGTGTGATCTGCAAGTTGAACGAAGTGTAAATTAGATCGAATTTTGAGTGTTTGGCCAACAACACCATCGTTCTCTGAAAGTGCTATTAGCTTATATAGTAATTATCTAAAAATAAATACTAACTGATAAGACAACAAAAAGCGAAGGCGTGATGAACTATCGGCTATTACATTCAAGTGTCACTTACGTTTACGGCGACAAATATTCAATAGATATATTCAGGATAAACTACGTTGAAATACATTTGCTTACCGTCTCAGTGTACGCACAAAGGGTGCTAGCTCTCTAATGCCTCTCTGTTGGCTAGTCTGAGCTAGTTCGGTCTGATTTATCCAACGAGTCTATGATTTTAACGCTGAATTGGCGATTGTTATGCCATCAGAATTGGCCCAGTGATCATACATGGCTGCGTAACGAGGCAGGTGTTTGACTGTTAGTTTCTCGAAAGAACCGCATTTACAAGCTGACTACGAACCAACTAAAATCATCTATTCTATTCATCTTCTTTCCCAACTGACTTCACCGGATGATGCTACGTGTTTTTGTGGCAGACCGCTAACAGCACCCCATCGACCAGATAAAGCATCGCAAGTGCACCTAACACCTCTTCATAACCCCCAGTTCCATTCCACAATCGTAATAATAATAATATAATATCAGCGTTACACGGGTCCTGTAGGCGCAGGCCAAGCAAACTTCATTTTCAGCAGTAGCGTCAACCGCCTACCTAACGCCTCGAATGACTAGAGCCACTAGCACGATTGCTAGGAATACAGAAGATTGAAGCGGCGAGCAACGAAAAGAACGAAAGAGAAGCTGGAGCAATCAGACTTTTCATTTCACTTCATCTTCAGACAACACCTAGCGGCAGAGCCAGCAACATTAACTTCAGCATTATAAGCAACAATATCAGTAAGTAAGGAGATCAGCAGTTGTTGCTTGGTGTTTGTTGTTGTCGTCGCTCATCAAGACCTCTTCTGCCTGTCGCTAGTTCTTCCTCATCATCTCCTGTGTCCGAGCGGCAGTACTCGGCGCTTGATTCCCGCCGACTCGCGAGAACGAGATGCTGATGATGCTACGGCTGCCGCTGACGCTGCTGCCATTACATGCTGCATTTGTTGCTATTGAGACCACGATACCCGTCATCACACGCGGCATGAGCCACTGCTGCGGTTAACGTGCTATGTTTTTGCCGACAACGACGCACGTACGGGACCGAATCGCAGCGCTGGCCTCCCTTCTCGAGCGAGAAACAGCAAAGTAAGGGAGCTAGCTCTTACTCCGCGCATCATCGAGTGGCTGGTAGCCAGCCAACACAGCTAGCTAGCTAGCTAGCTAGCTAGGCAAGCCAGGACCGTAACAGCGACTTCGACTTCCCGTTTCGAGCCTCGAAACCACAAAGGACACCAAGACTGGCATCACTATCAGCGCCACAAAATATTGCGAACGAACCGAAATTAACGAACAAACCGAATGACGACGACGACGACGATGACGATGGTGATGATGATGATGATGATGAGAGAAATATAAAGACGACGATACTGAAGAATAAAAAGCGATAAAAGAGTGCGAAAAATGTAGGGAAGAAGACCGAACCGAAATAGACAGACAAAGGTGATACGGCAAGCACCGCACCCGGCGGCGGCAGCAGCAGCATTCAACAGTAATGCGTATGTGTTTCTTCATAGTGAAAATGAAATTGTGGGAAAACCAGGAACATATCAGAGGAATAGAATCCCTAACAGGGTAGAACATTGGCCTTTCGTTTAATTTCTCTTTTGGTCGTAACAAGAAAACTGCTGATGTGGCCGCCACCGGTTGCGTCATGCCTTCATTTGTCCAATCAACAGCGCACCAAAACAGCCTCGGTACCCGCGCCTGGCAAAAGAGCCATAGAAGGTCGTCGTCGCCGCTCGTGGTCACCTTGGTAACCGCAAGAAGAAACAACAATCTAGATCCGAGTTTATTTTTTAGCTGTGACTATTAGCTCCAGCGCGAAGAGCACCGAACACGTCTACAGATACGCTATCGCCACGAAGTCAACACCGCAGAATGTCATTTCGCTACCGGCTGACATAAGCACTCCATGAGTAATCATTGTCTCAACAACCACTTCTAAATAGGTTAAGTAAAAATTCGTTGCATCAAGCTCTAATTGTGACCATAGTAACTCTACGGCTATAAAAGCAACACCGTATCTTTAGATGAATGCGTACCTTTCATTTTTTCTACTTTACGCTAAGCTTCGAAGAAGAACTTAGAATGTCTGGCCGAACCTAATGCTGCCTAATACAGTAACGTTTCTTCCAGGTATTAGACTTAACTTCAATAGCAACTTGGGCAGAAATTCGCTTTTTTCCTCATATTTTACGTGGCATAGGGGTCGTTTGGCATGCATTAAGATGCCACTATGTTACTACGAATATGTCATAAAGTCTAGTAAAGAGCACTTTATCGCTGGCTCAGATCCTCTTAAGTTAAATCTTTCCAAAGGTGTGAGCCATTGCGAACGAGCGGACCATTACGGCGGAATAAATAAAAAAATTACGAGGCACCCCTTATATTGAGTAAAAGCTTTCTTTCGATCACGGTGTTTTGGCCCGGTCTACTTTTCGTCGTCCGTTCAACTTAACTTGGATCTAAGGTCCACGTAAACACACTCCATTCGAGGCTATTACTCATCTCAATTAGCTTTCTTTATAAACTACTACGTTCAACAGAAATTAATGCACGAGAGTGGAAGGACACGACGTGCTTCTGTACAAAAAAAAGAACAAGATATTTATCCGCGCGCTGCTTTTCGTCCATTTCTACCAAATAACCTAGACAAATTATACCAAAAGCCATATTTTTTTCTTTATTGTTAATGAAATTATCAATTCTTGTCCCGTTTACGGTGGGGTATCGTTAGTGACAGCACACGTATATAAATATTGTTGCATATTTAAAGGTAAAGGCTGTTTGTTGCGTACGTGCCTGCAACGGGCGCGGAACTGGGTGATGTTTCAAATCACTCCAAAAATGCAGAAAGCATATGGAGAAAACGGAAAACTCTGTAGTCAGCAGCCATGATAACGTTTGTGTTCCAAAATCGGCTGATTTATGATCTGTCAACATTTTAGCAATGGCTATTGTACCGCCATCATTTATGTTTTTGTGTTCGTAAGGGGCTGCACGTTATATGTATCTTACACATTACACAAGACAGTCGCATCTATAAACGAAAAAACATAATACAACACTTCGGTGGTATGCCAGACTATCCTGCCGTTTATTCTAAATTCGTTATTTTTGGCTTTAATTGCTAGACCTCAAGAAATATATGTATGTATATGTGGTACGCACTCGTCGAAGTAAGGGGCGTGTGTTTTAACAATGAATGAGAAAAGGTCGTCTCATTGCTGCTACTGATCTTCGAAGTACTTCCTCGCAATATTGTGACACGACTACTAATAGGGCCTGACAGGCTTAGAAAAGCGTAAAGCAAAAACACGACTCCAAAGGTACTCCACGTGTATCGTGTTTACTTGTTGCATCGTAGCAGAAACAAAGATATGCTGTGTTATGATATGAAGAAGCTATTCCGCTGGCTGGAAAAATAATTAGATATAATAGCAAGCTAAATTGAACACTATTCCCTATTCCACTTCAAAATGCAACATTTTTCGCCCGCCATCTTCGCTGTACTGGTTTTCGAAATAATCATCCGAGCAAAGGTTTATCGATAGATAACCAACAAGTATAACAGTACGTGGACAAATCAAATGCGCTTCCGATCCATATATGCTATTCTATAAAATAATTATGCAGGTTCTTAGCGTTGCTGCAACTGGGGCTCTTCGGGCTACCTATTCCCGCGTCTGCTTAATTTGAAACAAACAAAAATCGCTCTTTCCACCAGATTCCTTTTCTGCCTTCTGTTTTGCTAATCGTCTCAAACCAAAGCTTCTTCGAAGTGGTCAATGGTTACATTAGTCGTTGCCGAGAGGGAAGTTATCGGAAGGCAGTCTGGCAAATGGGAACACATTCCTCTAAGCGGGATTTACCAGAAACCGGTGGACGAGTTGGCCCAACAGCTTTCAATAGGAGCGCCATAAGACACCGCTCCCATGACAGAGAATCTGTTTAGGCTACGTCGACGCAGACCTATTACTTAGTCGATGGCAAAGGAACTTTCGCGAACCATTTACTCCGAAGCAATGAATATCAACAGGGCGTATATATTTCTCTCTACGGCACATCCGTGCAGCGTCGACAAAACACGTTGAGTGGAGAATAGAGCACTTCACGAGTCTTGCCCCTGTCGCCAAACGATAGCAACAACAATATCCAACTGTGTGGCCTGTGTTCATCTAAATTAATATGCTCTTTAATGACATTATAAAATTTGCTTTGATGACACTTTAACCGCGGGGGTTTCGTTTTTTGTACGAACGACGGACGATTTTATGTTATTCTTTCCGACCATTCCTCGTCCATCAATTGGCTTGTTTTTTTCATGATCTGCTCACTAGCCGGAGACACGCTTGTACGCTGTGTCGTCGCTCCGCTATCTTTCGGCTAATATCGAGCCAGCTTTTGTTCGCTATTGCAATCGTTCGGTTGAACGAGATTGAAAATAAGATTACTGCGACCCATAATCATGCTGTTAGTTACTCAATTGGCGTTCAGTCAGTCTGATCGAATCGGATTGAAGGCTGCAGGGAAAAAGCAACGTACCACTATTAGGCCAGCCAGGCCAAGTCAACCAACGACGTTTGCCACTTCTGGCGTCGCGTCTGAGGTTAGCGCAGCGTTATCCTGAAGATGGTATTCACTAGAAGATGGGGCAGGCAAAACTTAACGTGTGATCCGATGACTTTATTGGTTCGATCCTAGCGAAAATGTCAAAAGGAACAAGATCCGATCGCTGAGTGTAAGTACAAATGGTGATTAGCCCACTGCATATCTTCCTTCCCTGTTTTATGTCTATTTACATGCTATCGAAGATAATTTTATGGCTTCGTATACAGGTTATATTGATAAGTTTAGCACTCGCATCAAGGCTATCCATCTTACAGAACATATACTGCAACCGTAATGCATGCACATGGTACACATTTTTACATTGAAGATAATACATGAAATGATCGTAATTGCTATTGTACCTAGCATGTATTTGTAAGATTTAAGTGTTCGATTGGCGCTGCACACTGGAAGCGACTAAATAAAAAAAAAGAGACGCAAAATTCGAGTTACACAGTAACTCATCATCACACAACATCACACAGTGATGTTTTCTTTAGAAATAATATCGGCTCTAAATAACAACGGCATATATCAAATGATTTTCAAGGGGGGTGTGACCTGAAGACCTTCCAAACTGTAGAAGACTTTCGTGATGGATTCCATAGATCATACACCGCGTGCAGGCCAACTCGATTTGATGCGAAACTCGCGCGAAAATATGAAGTACGCGTTTCCTGCAATTAGGACTTATTAGATAGAACGAATTCTGTTGCGGTTTCTGGCAAATGGTTCTCTTCCAAGATCCCCCTATGGTTTTTTTTGACAAACATGGACATAAGCAGGCCAAATTTACAAGATACCCTAAGTGGCTTTTCTAAAATGCTAATTTTTTTTACGTAAATTGTAAAATGTTATTTTTGCGATATTCTGTTCGCACCGCTTTGAAGTTACAGATCGAGACAATTTTCCCGTTACTAGCAGTTTAAATATTCACACTTTGACGTTTGCAGTATATGGTCAACATTTAGTATTACGTTGTTGAACGTCGACGAGCGATAGAACTCAGACAATTGAAATACAGGACAGCTATAACTGCTTTTCAGGGTGGGTGTCAAAGTGGGCTAACAGCAACGAACGGCCTGCACAGGTAGCCTCATTTGTTGTTCGACTGAATGGTCCTTTCGAGACGATGGTCGCTGACGATCACCGCTTGTAGACTCACTTAGCGGTTAATGACGATAACGATACTAATCGAGTGATATTTATCTGTGTGTGATAACATGACACAAACCTTGTGATGCTGATAAGGACAAAATTGATATTTATTACCTCTTGTAAGAGATTAAGGCGCACCAAAGTGACAGGAAGAAGGCTGTCTTTCTACTCGTGTTGTATATTACAGGTTACCGAAGATTAGTGGCTTGATACAGAATCTGCCTAAATCTGTGGCGGCTGTACGTTTCGCATTTGGTCTATTTCATTTTCGAATTTTAGCTCTTGAGTTAGCAATTTTCCCTAGGTACAAATGTAAGCTTATTCAAAATAAATTTTATTGTGAAGCAAAACAATTACTAAGCTGGAAGTCTAAGCTTCATAAAGTCAAAAAGCTTTAAACATTATTCTAGTATAAGAAGTACTCAGCCCAAAAAGAACGGACGCACGATAACCATTTTAATTTTCCCCCTGTAAAATTGAATCGTACTATCTACGCAGAAAGTTACGTTGACTCTGTGCCAACCTCTGCTTATTGTTGTTTCTTCTAGCATCTTGTACAACAAAGCAAAATCTGAGTTAGCATATCTAACTAAGGCGTATACTTCATTATTATCACAGTGTTAGATTTACTACAAAAGGAGGACGCATTTTAAATTAAACACTCTTGTTTCATGGGCAACTGTTAAAGGACATGGCGATGCGACTGACACACAGCAGTAAGCACTTCTGTTTGCCTAAAAAGCACCAAAAAATCAAGATGTGCCGATTTACTTTTTACCAAGGTAATCTATACTAACCGAATTGTTCAAGAAAACAGCTAGTAAGGCACCGAGTCATCTTGCACACGCGTAAGGGCCACCGAAAGATCAAAACATCTATTTAATAAACATTTTTTTAGAATTTCGATATCTTCTTTGTGTGCGCATGACCCTCAACGATGACTAAAATCCCCCATGTATGCTCTTCTTAAGGCTGTTGGAAAGCGCCCTGGCAAATATTGCCATACCAACTCGTCTTCTGTAAATCTTCTGCACATGATTGGATAACCGCACTCTTCTGGTGGCATCCGAAATATTCGAACGAGTGACAGAATTTGCTCGAGAGAAGGGATAGCGGCCCCGACATTATAGCTTCGTATGGTCTTTGGCGAAGAGTTTTTTTGAATCGGCGGACTTCTTTCACTACTGCGCTTTTGTTTATGCGTCCATTGTCACTGGCGAAAAATTGTTGATTCGATATGCCATGACCCGTCCGCCCTTTGCCAAATTCTACGTGTGTACTCAACAACGTATGTAATCGAGCCAAACCTCGTTGCTGGAGCCGCGCACGAAAAACAGACCCCGTTCATTGCCGCTGCCGCTGCTCCGTTGCAGGCCTTAGCCCGGCCATTCCTACCCGTCGCTATCAGCATATGTCGCATCGCCGCGACATACTTCGCTGCGTTCTGCTTAATCGTGCTCTGCCCCCATAAGTCAACCTTGTGGCCACGTATCGTCTGCTTGGTATCGAGTCGTCTCAATGAAGCTCCGCCAACTCAATGAGAATAGGACAACGACAAGCGCTTGACTCAGCGTAGCCTGCCATGACGGAAAACGCAAGATACCATAAGTGTCGTGACCGCGTCCACTTACTGTGGTTACAATGAAAGGAGGGGACTAACAAAAAAGACGCATGCCACAGAAGAATCGAACCCTGTGGTGCGATTCTGATACTGCGACGATGCGCGGCTGACGGTCGCGACCATGCTGTTGTCTATAGTCTATTTAGCGTGCGACAAATACATCACAAGCAGAAGCGCATTGACCGACGTCGCGCGCCACATAGGTATAACAGTGCCGAACGGGCGCAAGATCATGAACGGAGATGTAAATCACGCACAAATATTGCAGCAGTTAAACGGGTAAATATTGTGCGGCTATGAGAGGAAAGATCGAGTGATGCTGTTGTTTTGTCTGAAATGGCACTGGCCTGTTTGACCGAGAATTACGTCAACCTCTACCCTTGTAAGGGCTAGTGGTCTGAATTCCGCTCACTATGCGTTCCTACTACGAGGCAATATCCCTAATTTAGCGGGGTATATAGCATTTCAGGTACAATGTTGGTTTGTTCAATGCTCAGACAATGTCATCTCTGTGGTGCCGATTTCCTGAGCAATAAAGACGCCGTCTGCAAACTTCTGTCAACTGAGGTCTTGAGGTCGCGAAAAACGAGACGGAATATGTTCATGCGAATCTGCTTTATATAATTAGGTCCATATCGTCCGATAGTTAGTTAGTTAAAGCAATCTTCAAATCGAAGATTTCAGAGGAAATGCTTTGAGCTCATCATTGGTTAGGCCGAGAATGACGTATTGTTCTGGTGTCCCTAAACCATTCCCCGGTCATTTTTGCTAAAATGTGTATTACCAGTTAGAGTTAAGTGTGTGATCAGGGCACATTCACTCGAAGATACTTCTGGTCACTAGTAACTAGTAGAGCCTCTAATCAAATGGTCTGCGTAATTTTCTGAACGGTTACATTACTCGTGACTGAAACAGCGAAATTTTCAGCGTACCTCTATCTTATGGCAGGGCTATAATGAAAACATATTCTTCAGTGCGTATTCAATTCTAAGATATCCGAAGGTGAAAATCGTGGTGCTCGTTCTTCATTGAACAATGACTCATTGCCTTGCTGTATAGCTAGAACTTCTATCTTCATAACAGAGAAAGCGAGTAGTTATATGATTTTCAAGCCGGTCTCTGCTTTTCCTATTTACCTTTCTGTGGTCGTATTGATGTCCAAATCCGGCGTTCATTGCAAGTTGGAATAAGCACAAATTTGGGCCGACATCAAATCAATTCTCACTTTGGAAATATTTACACAGCTCTGGATGGCCTGTAACGCTGTCAATGTTCGATGCTGATCAAGGGATATGATTGCTCCCTATTTATTTGTCTCTTTAATGTATCTATCTTTTTTTAGAGAATACGGCACTGCACAGTGACTATTGACAGTTACAAGTCGTTACGTTGGTCATGCGGGGTCATTGCCATGGTAGCTGGATACCTTCAAAAACGGAGGACCAGAATGTGCCAGAACGCAACAGTCACAGCAGTCATTGATTGCCTGTGTCCGACCCACCACTGTCACTCCGCTTTGAAAGAGCTTCTTGTGTGCATAATAAGACTTGAACATCCGTCTGAACAATGTACAATACAGCCGGCTGTGAGTACAAACTTCCGGTAAGAAGCTGCATCGATGCCGTCCGGAGAGTGGATTTTCGATTCTGTAGAGCACGCAAACCCCTTCGGTTACACTATATTGTTTGTCAGTATCTGTTGTATCTCCCTCTCACGCATTATGCGTATATTCAGATACGTGACGTGACGGATTGGCGTCTGCCTAGACGTCATTGTCGAACAGGAATGAAACTATCAAGACAATTTAGGCAAACAAATATGTATTAGTACGTATAGCGAAACATTGTTCAGAAGTGACAACAAGCCAATAGAAGCAAATTTGTTGAAATGTAATGGACCGAGTTTTCGCAATGATCGCTTCGATCTTTATGACGACGACGTCGGCGTCGTCGTCGTCGTCTCTCACAAGAAATGATCTCAGTTGACGTAAATTTACCAGTGTGGCAGTAGTCGCTCGCCTCATATACCTGCCGATATGCAACCCGAATAAAGACGAAGCTTTCTATACGATTCAGGTTCACAGGGATGAAGAAGGCGGGCTGCGAGACTTATGTTTCCTTTTATGTATTTCTTGTAGAGAACAAAAAAGAATTAGCAGCACCATCGACTGAAGTGAGTACTGAGTAGTTAGGAACGTGGATCCTATGGCGTCCTTTTTCGGAAGCCAGCAATTGACTGTCGATCTGAGTTTCAAGTAATATTCATTACGTTACAACAGTGAACGCTGCGTGCACGCCACGGCTCACTCTGCCCATATCGCTTCCCATACCGTGAGCGTCAGATGAACATATAAAGTCAGGGGTAAAATTGACAGCCACGTTTTTCAATAAGGGGAAGCTCATGTACAAGCATACAAGGAGAAATGACAGCTAGCAAAAGCCCACGTTCACTTTAGGTATGCATTTTTATATGCAGAGTAAGTAGAACAGTTCGTTAATTAGTAGTTAATGTTCTTTGTGCTAGAACTTCTATTGGACCTGATATGCATTTTGAGATTGAGTTTAGCCTACGAGTCTTCTAGGTAGTTTAGGCGGTGCAAAATGCCATAGGCCCTGTCAAACAGGTAAAAGTCCCAAATTTGCTCATGCTTCCTATCTTCTTAACCTGAAATTGTCGACTACATCAAGAGGATTTAGAAATATACATATATATATACAGGGCCCCTTGCAGGCTAAGCGTCGTACATACGTGCATATACAGTTATAGCATAAAAGCATACCTAATGTCCTTTCAGTTCTGTATAAATGGCCTGTCGATGCTTGCATTCATAATATTTTAATTGGCATTGCACAATGTTTGGCTTTGTTTTCTTCATTTGTCTTACCTTTTGAAGAAAAATTTCAATGAGAATTAAGTGCACAATGTAGGTAGTCATATACCGTACCGGCGCATATTAGTCGAACAATGTTCAGTATTGGACTCTGTAATTTTGCAACAAAGTATATGTTTTTCAATTTTATAAGAACGGTTGGCAAAATAATTTTTAGGTCTCTTGATGCTAGATGGCGAGGTTAGCATTTCATCTAGTAAGTACGTGAGCCCTCTATGACTCAACAATGACAAACGTCGCACCATAAGAAATGAGATCGCTGTAAAGAAGACGCCCTGGATTAGCTACGAAAGCACGAACGGTCGTACGAAATAAACGAATAAGTTACCACATGTAATTACTTGTTCGCTTTCGGGGTGAACTTTCCCAAGAAAGTTTGAAGGTAATTAAACTAAAAAATAGGTCGAAATCTTCCTAGCTTCCGATGGCTGCTCGTTGTCGCCGGCATTGTTAGTGCTGCCGTTAATTTTTCGAAATGTCAAAACCTCGACAACACTGGGACTCTTCTTCTGAACCAACAACCGTATTCCACCACATCCTTTAATATAAAGCTGTCTCCATCGAGATTTATTTAGTCTCTGAGTGCATGAGATGCTGCCACTCTGTGCAGCGAATTGACACCACTCCGCACTATAATGATATAGTTTTTTATCGTTTCACGAATGAGTTGAATGAAGCCCCTTGAACTTGACAAGTCGCGTGAATCGGACACGCCTGCTTACTACCATCTTTCCGTGATTTGTTTTTCCTCTGCTCTGTTCGTTCGGTCCCAACTTGAGTCACAGCAAAATTACCTTCGGAGTATTTCATGCAAACATTAGTCAACCAGCCAAAAGCTATCCGCGCAAAAAGGTTTAACTTCGCCCGACTCTTGTGAGTTACCACCCCATAGCATTCGGCTTGATCTTTGTAGGTGATTCCTTTTTGTAAACCTTACAAAATCACTGCTTTATCTTCGAGTCCTAGAAAACATTGTTCGCTGTCTATAAGGACTCGAATCTGCCTGTCTATCTGTCTGCCAGCATCTGCGCGACAACTACCACCGATTGTGCTGATCGTTGGTGTTGCTAATCTATGTGGCTCTCTCCGCGCAAGAACTATTGCCGCCGTTGTGTGAATCCAGGAGATTTTTAATAAATAACATGGACGTAACGCAAGGATAGCTTTTCGTGCCGTTGACATTAGTGCTTTTCCTGACGATCATAGCATTCCTGGTGCTGATGACGCTGGCTCGTTCTCGATGTAACGCGAGCACCGAGGACGAAAGAAAAACGGACAAAATAAGAAAGAGAGAGAAG